GTCGAGCTGCGTGAGAAATAAGGAAGAAAGAAAGGGAGGGAGACGAATTACATATCTTGTTAACTTCATCATGTGTGTCTATTTACTAGATATTTAATTTAATTTAATTTAATGCGGTTTCAGCTCCGCCGCGTCCCCAGCGTACATGAAAATAGAGCCCTGAGTCTCTTTGAAGTAGAAAGGATAGAAAGTTTGTGTTTTGGGAAGGCTTCTTTGGTTATCTTGTATAGAGACAGGAGGTTGTAGAAAGATTGTGATTTGGTGTTAAAGGTTTACACCATCTCTTCTCCAGTGAGCAGATGTAAGTCTTACATTCTTTTGAGGGGTTCGGATACGAAAGTGGTCGGCTCTGCTACAGGGGTCATAGTGGATGAAAGCAGACAGGTTCTCGTGCTTAAAATTAAGCAATGTTGCAACTTTTTGCGAGAAAGGCAGGCTTTCCCATGCTCTCACACACTGGAAGGGGGTGTGTCTTCTTTAAGGCTTGCTCTGCCTCTCATATTCTGTTCATTTGCCATTACACTTGCTTAGAGTAGAGACCTAACAGCAGCAGTAGCAACATGGACTGGAGTGTGTGTGTTATTTGTTCAGAGGGAGGAGGAGAGGATTTGAGGTGTCCAGCAGATTCTCTACAAAAAAACAGTGCAGAAGTGTACAATACTTTCTTTAATTTAGTTAAAGAATTTACAGAATTGGATGGGATGCCTGTAGAGATCGATCTTAAGGGCTGTGGTACGGTTGAGGCTTTTGAAGAAAAAAAAGCCAAATGGCACAAGTCATGCCAGCTGAAATTTTCTTCTTCAAAGTTGGAGAAATTAAAAATGCGTCAGAGTCAGAAAAGGAAAAAAGACTCTCTTGATGAAGAATTGCGCAGATCCACTTCAAATAGTGAGTGCATGTTCTGCAGTTTGAATAAAGGAAAACTCGTCAATGCTCAACAATCGAGCTTGATGACAGTTTGCGGAAAATGGCCACTGAAATGCAGGACACGGCACTATTGGCAAAAATTTCAGCAGGGGACCTAATTGCAATAGAAGCTAAATATCATTTGAAATGTCTTGCTAAGTACAGAAACACATACAGGAGCATCCAGAGGTCAGAGCAAATGGAGTCAAAAGAAACTGGAAAATTTGTTGAAGCTTTGGTATTTACTGAATTTGTCTCATACATAGAAAGTCATTTGGAAGAGGGAACCTTCATTTTTAAAATGTCAGAACTCCACGGTTTCTATGAGAGTCGGCTAAGTCAGCTTGGTGTCAATAAAACAATAAACAGAACCAGACTTAGATCTCAAATTTTCAGGCATTTTGGTGACCGGTGCCAGGACCAACCTTGCAGAAAATCATCATTGATCGTTTTCAAAGCTGGATTGAAGTCCATACTGAAAGAATGTACACAACAAAACTATGATAAAGAGGCACTTGCTATGGCAAAGCTAGTCAAATCAATTTGTAATGATGTGTTTGACTATACAGGTTTTCAATTTGATGGTCACTTCCCAGAGAAATGTCAGACTGATTCTGTCCCACCCAGCTTGACGGCACTGGTTTCCATGCTACTGAACGGCACAAATGTCTCTAATCAAGACGGCAGTGTTTCTCAAGCATGCCTAACCATTTCCCAGCTGATACTTTTCAACATGAAGAAGACTTCTACTAATGTAGCAGGGCCATCAAGGTTTTCCAAACTTAGTGAGCCTCCTCTTCCTCTTTACATTGGTCTCAAAGTTCACACCCAAACAAGAAGCAAAACCACTGTAAATTGCTCATCCACACTGGGAATCAGTGTGAACTACCAGCGTGTCATTGAGGTAGAACAGCAGCTTGGATCTGCTGTCTGTAGAAAGTATATGGCAAAGGACCTAGTCTGCCCTGCTATCCTAAGGAAGGGTCTTTTTACCGTTGGGGCACTTGATAATATAGACCACAATCCATCATCAACCACAGCTCAGGGGTCATTCCATGGGACTGGGATAAGTGTGTTCCAATTTTCAACTGCTTCAAACTCTGGTGTTTGTAGAGAACAAATTACCATCGAACCAAATGGAAATGACACCCTTCTCCTTCCTGAGAACTACACAGTTGTCCCTGCTGTTACCTGCAATCCAAAGTCTATTTCAGTCCCTAAAGCAAAGCAAACAAGTATTGCAGGCAAACTTGACAAGGCAAAAGCAGAAGAGGACAAATGGGCAGAACATGCAACCCTATTCCTGCAAAGTGAAACAATGGATGGCGATAACTTAATCTCTTGGGCAGCATATCATGCCTCACATCAGCCAGAACCACTTGACCCACCTGCCATAAACTCACTTCTTCCAATTTTGATGAAAAAGCAGCTACTTTTGAAATGGTCAAACATTGAATGCATGTCCTAAAACAGATTACAGAACATCTCAATCCTGGTCAAGCCCCAGTGTTGGCATTTGACCAACCACTGAACGCCCTTGCAAAAATGGTTCAATGGAGTATTCCAGACTCCTATGGAGAGAAAGAGTTTGTGGTTATGTTTGGTGGGTTACGTATAGAAATGGCTTTATGGCACACAATTGGAGAGTTCTTAGAAGGCAGTGGTTGGACAACAGCATTATGTGATGCTGGGGTGGCCACCTCTGGGACAGCTGACTCCTTCTTGAAGGCAGCACATTTGACTAAAACCAGGCACAGTCATCAAGTGTCACTTCTAGCCTTATCAAAGCTCCAGCATGATGCATGGCAATTGGAATCTACAGGTGTTTCCTTTGAGATGTGGAGAGCAGACATGATAAAAAAGTAACAGACTTTCCAATTCTTGAACACTATTCTTGAATTTGAGAGACTTGCAATGATCTTTGCCCGTGCTCACAGAATCAGGGATTTTGATCTTTACGTGAAAGTTCTGGAGGCATTGGTCTGTTGGTTTTTTGCACTGGACAGAACCAATTATGCAAGATGGGTCCCTATCCACATACATGACATGACAAGCATCAAGGAGGAATTGAACAACTTCTGGTCTACTCCAAAAACCAAAAATAGGTTCTCATGCATGCCCATTGACCAAGCCCATGAACAGAATAATGAGTTGGTAAAAGGTTCAGGAGGTGCCACTGGTCTGACAGAGAACCCCACAGCCTTTCGGCGGTGGATGGTTGCAGGATCGGAGCAGGCTAGACTTATTCTTGATTTTGAGTCACAATTCATGCAATCAGATGACAACTCTTTGCATCTACAGCATGAACAGAGCGCCTCATACCAGGCAAAATTCTAAAAACAAGTTTCAGACTTGTGCAACACCATCTCAATCATGGGCAATCCATTTCTGGATATATGCCAAGAGCTGCTTGTATTGGACACGCGCAACTGTGCAAATGCAGATGTTGTCAACACTGTGCATACTATTGAGATGTTAGGCACGACCTAGTTTCAAACATATGTGAAGGAAGTCATTGATGGGAAAACACCCATTCACCAGACTATAAAGAAGAATAACCTTCCTCTTTTCAAAAATGCAAAAGCAAAGGCAAGAGCCCAGGAGAGAGCAAAACTTTCAGCTTTAAAAAGTGATTGTAATCTTTTCAGTCAACTTTACATTGCTAGTAAGTTTAGAGATGACAACCTGGATGAGTTCTTCTCTCATGAGAATAATATTTATCCTCCAGCCCTGTCCAAAGATGGTAAACTCAATTTACCATCTCAGAAGTCCGATTTGATGGGAATAGCATCTGATACTTACCCACCAGTACCATCCTCTGTTGATGTTAAAATTATTGACGGCGCTGCTATTGTCCACGCTCTACCTGTTGACAAAGTATCTACCTTTGGTGAATATGCAAGTGATGTCTTCTTGCCATGGATTGAGCTTCAGTTGAAGACTTGTGACACAGTTAATTTTGTCTGGGATTAGGCCTGCACGATATATCGTTTGAGCATCGTCATCGCGATGTACGTGTGTGCGATAGTCACATCGCAGAGCCTGCGATGTCGGAGGTGAATGAACTCGGTTAATTTCAAGGGTAACTGACTGAGATACACTGCATGTGACTCTGCATGTGCTTTGCAGCGATCCACCAATCACCCTCGTTCTTTACTCAGTTGCCAATCAGACTACTCTGCCAGCTGTCAATCAAAATCAGAGAGGAGGAAACCCACCCCTGCACATGGAAGGAGTCGCTGGTGGAGTCGAGAAACGCGCGTCCGCTGAGAATTACTTTCGGAACATTCTTCATCACTGTTTAGCCCAACAAATAAGAATTGTATGGGTTTTAAATTGTACATTTCCGTGGACCACTCTACTATAAGCGGTGCGCGTTTTGTGAGGTGCTTGCAATTCTCCGAGGACATGCGTTTCTCAGTACAACCCTGTTAACAACAACAACAATGATCGCAAACTGAGCAACAAACAGAGAAAACTACAGAAGATTAAGATTTGTTGGTAAAAAGAAAAGGACAGTCAGTTATCTGGAATTATTTTGGTTACAAGATGGATAATGTCGACCAAAACACGTGTTCTGTGTTCATCTGTTTCCACAATAACGTCCCAGAACAATAAAAGCTAAAAATATCTCTGAGACAGACAGAAGCCACTCTACAAACATTCACAAAAAGAGGTAAGATCAGAGCAGGTTAACTGTCCTCAAGATTTAAGCAGTGCAGCAGAACATAAAGTGCTATTCAGGTCATCTGGTGAAAATTCCTGTATTTTTTAATATCACAATATATATCGCAGGGTTGAAAAAAATCGCAATGTTAGTTTTTTCCAATATCGTGCAGCCTTATCTGGGATGTATACAAAAACAACAGCCTCAAAGATTCAACATGAGAAAAGAGAGGACTCGGCATCCGACAAAAAGTTGGAGAGATGACTAACCTTCCACGCAAGTTCCCTGATTTTCTAAAGAACCCATTGAACAAGGAAGAGCTCTTTGAAATGCTAGCTGAGAGGGTTAACACCACCATGTTTGAATCAGGAAAGCAAGTATATGTGACAAAGGTAGACATGTACTTTCATCAGGTCCTCTAGCTCCAATGTCAGAGTGTGACCATGAGGAAGCAGACACCCGAGTTTGCGTCCATCTGAAAGATGCTCTGGAAAAGGGTTCACAGAAAGTCGTAATTCGAACAGTAGATACAGACATTATAGTGATCCTTGTTGGTCTGCTTGGACAGCTTACCAAAGACTACCCAGATACAGGCATCTGGGTTGCTTTTGGTATGGGGAAGAATTTCCAGGAAATATGCATCAATACCATTTCCCAAAAGATTGGAAAGAGCATAAGTTTGGCTCTGCCTGCATTCCACGCATTCACAGGCTGTGATACAACTTCACAGTTCCGGGGAAAAGGCAAAAAGTCAGCCTGGGCTGCATGGAAATCCTTTCCCGAAGTGACAAACGCCTTCATTGCCATGGCAGCTGAACCTCACCAACTTAGCCAGGAATCAAAGACATTTGCATTACTGGAAAGATACACCTGTGTTCTGTACGACAAGACAACTAACATTGAAAATGTCAATGACCTAAGGAAGGACCTGTTTGCTAAGAAATCTCTGTCAATGGAAAACATTCCTCCGACATAGACTGCATTGCTACAGCATGCACATCGAGCAGTTTATCAGTCTAGGATTTGGTGTTCAACATCTTAAAAGCTATCCAGTCTCTACCATCTCCTGACAAATTTGGATGGACCAAAGTCAATGATTTGTGGAGACCGCTATGGACACCATTGCCAGAGGCTGCCAAAGTTTGCAGAGAACTCCTTAAGTGTGGCTGCAAAGCTGAGCCCCTCTGTTCTCGGAAGTGTCAGTGCCGGGATGCTGGATTACCTTGTACAGCATTTAAGCCAATGTGCTGGTAAATGTGAATGGGACATGTGAGTCACTTGGCTAAAAGATAAAGAATAAAAGACGAAAAGAGGGGAAAAAGAGGGCACCCCTTCTAGGGTGTATTAGGATGACCCTAGGGACATATGTGCCAAATAGTTTGCTTCTCTGAGATTCAATAGGCTATTTGAATCAATCGGCAACACTTTAGGCGGCCATTTTGAATTTCGTCAATAATCCACTTCCTGTTTTTGGCCACTATATCTAGGATGTATCAGGATGACCCAAGGGTCACATGTGCCAAACTTTATGATTTTTGGACATTCTTTAGGTGTTTTTTGAGTAAACTGTCACCGCTTAGGCGGCCATTTTGAATTTTGTCAATAACTCACTTCCTGTTTGACATTTTTTTGGGCACCCCTTCTAGAATGTTTTGGGATGACCTAAGGGACATATGTGCCAAATTTCATGCTTGTATCTACCGTGTAATGATTTTTCACCTCACAGACCCTACTATCTACAGTCGTCTTTATTATCATCATTCAAAAGGCAATTCAAGAGGTCATGACTGTGATAGTTTTGAGTAACTGATCTTGGATCCATTTGATGTATTTACTGTCATGTAATTTATAATTCTTTGTTATTGTTGTTACTGTTTATTTTTTTGTTTTTAGCTAACTTTGCACTGCTGCCAAGATTAATTCTTGCTGTATTGGGGAGGTTCTTTGGCAAGCTTATTTGGCTTCCAACCTCCTCGGCACAATGCTGTTTTAAATCTATCTTGAAATGTTTTATCTTTTTGTCATGTGCAAATAAATAAACTAACCACCTCCATCAAAAGAATTAATTACTTGTATTGCAATATTTTGCTGTTTGGCCTCATTTTGAGAGCTCCTTGCCTTTCCTTGTGCTTACTTTGAATACCAAATTCTGCAGTGGGAAGAGCACACCTCCTTTTATTTCATGTGCATACATGAAAACCAATGCAGGGAGAGCAGTTAAAGCAAAAACCCAGAACACAAAATAGCAAGGCTGGCTGAAGCAGTCTAAAGAAAATTCCTACATGACATTTGCCAATTAGACACATTGTAATCTTTAGTGAAAAAGAAAGCACAGAATTATAGCTCCCTTTTAGATAAAAAAAAAAGAGTACAGACGTAGTGGAGAAACAGAGGAAGAGATAAAGAATTTTTAAGCATGCAGTCCACAATGTCAGTGGTGGGTTTTTCTGTTCTATAGAATTCTAAGGTAAAAAATGAAGCAAGAGAGATGGCTTAGTTCATTCTAAGGGTCACACTCAGTTTAGCATCGCTATGAGGCCAAAGAAACCTTTTTTTCTCCATGAAAGCTTCCAGAACTGTCACACCTGCTTAGGTCTGGAACACTACCCTACCCCCTCCTCAACCACATTCTCACACATCTGTGTTCCCTGTCTCCAGGTGGTAAAGAATAACATCAATTCCTCCTAAATTTGTATAAAGATAAATGATTGATGCTTTGGATATTGAAAAATACCTTCAGAGTACTTTAGTTAGCATCTTGTCTTGCATTCTTGCAGTTAATGAAATCTAAACAAAAACAGTTAAATATACATTGCAGGTAAAATTTCTTTTGTCCTTTTTCTTCAGATATTGTTATAAGTAACTGAGGTATTTTTTTTTACATTGTGCTACTTCTGCCAAGACTTATAGGATTGAATGACTGACTCCAGTTAAAACAATGTTTAATGAAAAGGAGATGTGAAAGTGCTGCATGCTCACACTAGACCCTGTTATGGTTGTTTGCCGGATCCTGTGGACGTCGGTACTCGGATTGTGAGAGAAGTGCTTCGACGAGAGCGCTATTTTCGTGACCGGTCTAACCCATTTGATTTACCAGATGACGTTCTGTACCAGAGTTACAGATTTTCTTTTGCGGGGCTGCTATATATTAGTGAGCTGTTGGAGCCTTATGTGGTGAACGTCACTCACTGCAGTCGGGCGCTCACAGTTCCGCAGACAGTCTGCCTCGTGCTGAGGTTCTTTGCCACCGGTGAGTATTCATACAGATTTACTTGTCCAATTACAACTAACAAAGCACGGCTCGCAAGAAAGGACGACAAAAGAATTTGAATGAGTCTCCTTTATTCCCCCACTCATCCATTTCCTCCAAACACACAGGCACTTTCATGTATGCTGTGGGAGATGCAGAGAACCTCAGCAAAAACACCTGCTGCAAAGCGATCCACAAAGAGGCGAGGGCACTGACAGATCTGCTGGACATGTTTGTCGTTTTCCCCGGACATCTGCCTCTGCATGCCATCAAAGACCTGCCATCACTGGCAGGTAGGTCCATAAATGGCAAGTCCACACATTATACTTTTCCATGTATGTATTTGGATATTCAAACCTTATTCTCTTTTCTCAGGCTTCCCCAGAGTGATGGGGGCCGTAGACTGCACGCACATCCCCATTACAGCCAGTCTGGGACCAAGTGAGGCAGACTATGTGAATAGGAAAAACTTCCACAGCCTCAATATTCAGGTAGCGTGAAGTCTAAGCAATGCACCAATATTTGTAATATACTAATATAAGTTCCAGTTTCATGTGGCATATCAGTCATTTAGAATGTATTTAAGCAGATTTGAAAACTCCTGTTAACACCAAATGTGTCTGCAGATGACATGTGACCATCAAATGATGGTCACTAATCTTGAGGCAAAGTCGCCAGGTTCCGTGCACGACTCCTGCATCTTCAGAGAGTCACAGCTGTGCAGGAAACTCGAGCAGGGTAAAACTACTGTACACTGAATCTGTTCTTTGATGTCAACCACATTTTCAGCTCCTCAAGGCTCTTCCTCTTTATCTGCAGGGCTCTTCAGTGGAGTGCTGCTGGGAGACAGAGGGTACGCCTGCCAGCCCTACCTGCTGACCCCCTATCCTGACCCTGGTGCCAGTCAGCAAACTTTGTTTAATGTGGCCCTGGCTAAAACCAGGGTCAAGATAGAGATGACCTTTGGGGTCATCAAGGCCGGCTTCACTTGTCTCCGTGGGCTCAGGATGGCTCCAGAGAGGGCCTGCAGGGTGATTGCGGCTTGTGTGGTGCTGCACAATATAGCAGCCATACGGCGGGAGAGGGTCCCTCCTGTCGACAATCCCCCCCCCGCCCGATGTGGTGGACCCCATCACCGTGGACTTCCCTTGAGGGGGGGCTGTCCGGGAGGCCATAACCGAACAATTTTTCACATAGGCACGAGAAGCGTGATTTTGGTTTGTATTTTCATTTTATTGGGAAAGTCTTTTTTTTTCACGTTCCTGCAAGAAAAAGGAAAAACATTAGTTTATTCCACAACTGTACTCTGTGAGCATGAGCGCAGCCCACTGCCCACTGCAGGGCAGATGTAACCTAATTTCCTTGGAGGATGATCACATGTGAAATTGCCATTGCTTCTCTTTATACAATAAATTGCATTACCTGTTTGTCATACTCCAGTTTTTCCACCTCTAGTGTCAATTTTTTGATTTGGAGCTTTACACTTTCTTTTGGAGTGCTTTGCACTCAATGTCCTCTTCCAGCTGTCTTTTGTATAGCGCCCTCACTGTGTCAGCCCCGGGCTGAAATCAAACACATGCAGTTGCTTCAATGTCCAAGCATTTGCCTATAAAACTTTGGTTAATGTGAAAATGGATTACATTTTGTGATTCCCTTGTCTTGGCTGGTCTGGAGGTGGAGGCCACTGGCTCAGGGGCAGCTGGGTTTGCCTCTTCCTGTGAAAGAAGAACAATTGAAATTGAGTAACAGGATGAGAGAGCATGTGAGCACACTTATCATTCCCAGCAGCAGACCCCATCACCTGTGGAATTTGCCATTGATAAATAACTGCCACAATCTCCCCACCACTGTGAGAACCACCGCCATGATCTCTCTGAGCAGGCTGAGAGAGTCTCATCATCAATGACCGCCGAATGGTCTGGTTGAATTTGCAGTTACCTCTGTACTGGGCAATGTTTGCTTGGGTGGAGGTAGCAGCGTGACAGTCAGTGTGTCACTGTCCACTGGGGAGAAACATTAGAACATTAGCAGTCACCTTTTCACAAACAACTCAGTGGTTTGCCTTTGCCTCACTGAAACATACCCTGTACAAAGCAGGAGCTCTGCAAGCTGCTACCTCCACCAGGGTCAGAAGTCATGCCACCCTTGATGCCCTCAGTGGCTGGGCGACCCCTGTCTAAGGAGAGGGCCAGCTCCTCAGACTTCAGGAGTGAAGTCCTCTGGAGCTGGCCCTCCCCCGGTTTTTTTTGGCCGCACATTTTTTATAAATAATATATATCAAATAATATCACACGACCTCGTTTATCATCATCCTACAGCTGAGACATTGTGAGGAAATCACTGTGTACATGATGAAATACTGTATGTACAAATACAATCTGCCAATAAACCTACTAACCACTCTGAAGGATGTTTTTATATTTATTTCGGATTTGCTCCCACGTTCTTTTTTCCCCACTGCTGCTGCATCTGAAATCATGAGGTCGATGATGATGATGGTGATCAAACACTGAATGACAACACATTTGGGGACCATAAATTAATGAACGCACAAATGTAGCGATATCTATCCGTGCCATTGTGATGACACATTAATATCTTCATCGTAGTGACTTACGCATTAACACATTTGGCAATTTTTTGCCAGCAGTCCCTCCGGCTTCTGGCGGCTGCGGCAGTGTTGCTCCTTGCTGTGATTGCCTCTCGGAACTCCTCGTACTTTCGCAGGATAATATCCTGTTCTTCTGCCGTGAAATATGACGCTCTCACCGTTTTATCCATTGTGGGAAATGGTCCAGTGCCGCTAACCCCGCTCCTTTTACGTGTGCGTGCACATGTAGCCCCCTCGCTCAATTCCTATTTTTCTAAAGAATATTACCTAATGGATCATACACACAGTATTTTGCATGGGAGAGGAATTGGTGATGCTACGAAATATAAACCAGGGAATTGTGTGATGTGTCTGTGTGAGTGTTAACTCCCATGCATGTCTTTAGATAGCCCCAAATGTGCACAACATCAATCAATATGAACTACACATGTTTAAATGCTCCAATGTTCACATTTATTCACAGAATAAACATATAAACGAGAAAAAAAAAAAAAACTCTTAATACCCGGGATTTTATAAATCAGTCTGTGGTACCACGTACGTTGGCGCGCTGTTGGAGCTCTTGTGTAGGTGCGATTTCCAAGTCGTTTGTACTCACGGTCCCTTGTTATTTTAGTGTGTTGTTATAACCATCATGGAAGTACAGAGCCTGAAGAAGGAGAGAGTCGGTCCGCGTGCCGAAGTCCCTGGCGCGGGAAGTCCGGAGCACTTCTACTGTCGCAGCACGAGTGGCCAGTATCCGAAGCACACTGACAGCACAAAAAAACAAACCTTCACATACACGTACTCACTCACAATGTACCTGTGGTAACAATAAGGAGTCTGATACTCACTCAGGAACTTGAAATTAACACCCGACCTCGCACATGTATCCTGACTCCAGTCTTCCTCTGCTCCTGCACGTCGATACTAGTTAGCTAACAATTTAGCATATAGCACATTTACGAACTTTGCCGAATCTATCAACAACACTCACCCGCTCGTCTCGCAACAAACACACACTCCCGCCCCGTCCAACACACCGAGCCTCAATCCCGTTGGGTCTTTATTTAACGCTTAACAACGAAAGAACAACTTTCACACTATTATCTCGCCTTCTCTCTGCATCTCTGGTCAGCATTTTTTCACTCCGTCAATCACTGCTCTCTCTCACCCATACGAAAACCCCGCCTTCCCAAAACTGACAGGTCCCTTTCCTCACCCCAACTTAACAATGATTGGCGATACGCTCGTGACACCTGTCAATCATGCAACACAGGGACAACCGGACATGAGGCGTTCAAGGTCTGCCTTAACTGCGGGATATTTGAAAACTTTAACCAAAACATTTATATTCCTGAGATAATGAGGTGATATCTTACTTAATCAACAAGAAAATAAGAGCTATCACAGAAATGAACAACTTTAAGAATGAACTCAAATTACTAGGGCACTACACTCTTCCCCAACCAAACAAGGTCATGCCCTCATGACATGTAAAACAAAATGACCTCCTCAGCTTTTCTCCAACATTCGTTGTGAACAGGATAACTGTTTTTTCTAACCTATCCACTTGTAAACAGTGCTTTTGAAAATTTTAACAGGAGATAAGGAGAAATCATTCTTTTTGTCATCAGCCTTTACTAAGGTGGCAATGGGTATACTAACTACTACAGACGTTGGGCTTCCCAGCAAGTCATAGGTCAGTCTAGTAGGTACCCGTCTTAGTCTCTGAGGTCGTCTCGTCTCGTCTGGGCTCTCTGATACCCTGTCTCGTCTCTCAATAGTTTTGTCTGTAGTCTGTGTCTCAGTGCCTCTTTCAGCCACAACAGCCCCTTCGGCTGTCTCATCTTGGACCAATAGTTCGTCCTCATCAGCTATGATAGGTTCCTGAGCTGTGGCTACCACAATCTCTGTGTTTTTATCTGTAGGGACTGCAAGATCCAAATCCAGACTGAAAGGTTGTGACTGGTCATGATTAGGTTCTGGTTCCTTTGACTCCGGTGCTGGTTGAGCTTGATAGTCATACCATACCCTCATTTCATCATCTTCCGAGTCAGATGCAGACTCAATCTTGTCATCATGTTTAGAGGCTGGGAAACAAGGCAGGTCACAGTTTTCAGTCCCCTCTGCTTTGAGTCTTTTGCTGACTCGTCTCTTAGGTTTGGGTGGATCTGTGGTCTTTTCAGATCTCAGCTGTACCTCCGATCCAATAGGCAGAATGTGATTTCGGTGCAACATTTTATCAGGGCCCTGTCCATTTGCTGGCCTCAACTTAAAAACAGGTAAACCAGGCAGTTGCGATACGCTCGTGACACCTGTCAATCATGCAACACAGGGACAACCGGACATGAGGCGTTCAAGGTCTGCCTTAACTGCGGGATATTTGAAAACTTTAACCAAAACATTTATATTCCTGAGATTATGAGGTGATATCTTACTTAATCAACAAGAAAATAAGAGCTATCACAGAAATGAACAACTTTAAGAATGAACTCAAATTACTAGGGCACTACACACAGATCCTAAGTGGTCACACCTGGATTTAGTTATCGAGTTGATAACCGGCTTCGTAGTACAGCTGATCATGAATGCGGAGATCCGGTGAAGTTGAGCGAGTTGTCGCAGAGTTATCCTGGGTGTGTTAATCCAGCTTCATAGTACAGGCCTCAGGGGTACCAAAGGTGGTTCAATGCAGTTGAGTAGTTGACCTAAAATAACGGAGGCAAAATTTTCTTACCTTCACTGGTGTCCAAAACAGTCAGCATTTACAGTCATTCAGCTCCAACAGGTTAATAATCCACCGATATTATTCCCGTTTACATCCTGTTTACAACCTTGCGGTCAGCGTCTCATCCATTCACGTGAAAAATTTAAGTTTTTAGCGCTGTTTAGGGTCGGCCGGCTCAGTCGTTTTACACCTGGTCCTCTTCCACTGGACTGCAGTGAGTAAGTCACGGCCTGTCTGGACCTGTGGTCTGGACTCCGTACCAGGTCCAGTGATGCTCCTGCTGTTGGTCTCTATTGGGACACCTGAAGCCAAAGCGAGCTAAAACTTTTTTCACACAATGCAAATGGATGAAACATGCTGACCGCAAGAAACGGGATGTGAATAATATCGGTGGATTAATAAACTGCTGGAGCTGGATGACTGATAATGCTGACTGTTTTAGACTCCAGAGTGAAGGTAAGAATTTTTTCCTGAAGGTTTGATCAGTTATGTCTCTGTGATGAGCTCCTGTGAAAGCTGTAGTTTGGTGAACACAAGTGTGTCTGTGTGGATGAGAGGAGACAGGAGTGTTAATGAGTGAGACTGGTGATGAAGTTTATACAGTTAATACTGATGTTTACTTCAGATCGCTGCTCTGTGTGTGTGTGTGTGTGTGTGTGTGTGTGTGTGTGTGTGTGTGTGTGTGTGTGTGTGTGTGTGTGCATGCGTGTGTGTAACATTGTGAAGGATCCTCGGTGTGTGAGCCTTTCTCTCTGTAGGGACTGATCGTCACTGGTCGGTGACGCTTCCCGTTTACTTGGTCGTTTGAGTGTCTGGGGAAAAATAGTTGGCTCCTTTCATTGACCCTTGCCATGCCGTGCTGCAGCTTCTGGATGAGTTAGGCTGTAAATTGGTCTATTTCCAACTGGTTGGGACTTTGCTACATCTCATTTGTACTAATAGCCGGTGAGTCTGCCCCCCTCCCTTCTTGTGCTCGCGCCCCCCCCAGGAGGGTGTCCAGCGCACGCCCTCCGGTTGAGAACCACTGCTCTAGACAAGCCTTCAAGATTTTTTGACCTGTTTGCTTATTCTAATTTTCCTAGTTTCTTCTGCTTGCCGCCAGCCCTGCCATCTTCACTGCTACTCTGCCAATACACCCAGTCCTCCTGCATTCCTTGGTTTTCTCTGTCATTGTTTTTGGATCTCTGGCCCTATGGCTTGTTTTCTTTTTGGACTGGTGAATAAACTATTCATTTACTCAGTCAGTCTGAGTCTGAAGTGGTCTGATTCTGAGTCTTGCTTCTGTTTAGGGCTTAATCCTAACAGTATAAGTGATCAGTTGATCAGATACCTACAAAATGAAGTATAAACTTACTCAAAAGTCTAGTTCTAGCATCTTATCTACTTCACCATAGAGTTGTATTGGTAAAAGGTTCTTGTCACTGATCAAATACTCACAAAAATTTTGAGGAATCACAATTTACATTCTGGCTTGTGTGTCCCTTTCCCCCCTTGCTTCTGGAAGCAGGAAATGGAAACCAACAATGGCATGTATTTTGTATTTTCTGCAGGTCTTGGAGGCATTTCATTAAGTATGACATGTTTTGCAGCAATGTGGAAGGGGACACTAAGTACACTGTTAATTGGATTGCCGTCTCTTGCTGCATCTGCAAGTTTGTCACCCTTGTGCACATTTTGAATAAATGAACACACACATCTTCTCGGGGTTGAGAGGGAAACAAACACAAATAAAATCAGACTGAGGCAAATTGAAACTCCCGGAAGAGTTAAAGGATCGGAGTTTGAATAGGACTGCAATTCATTAAACTGGTGCTACTTCAGTGTCTATCTGAAGACTTCATGCTGTGAAGATATATATGTGTGAATGTCCTAAACTTATCTTTTAAAGATGAATGATTAGCATTTTTATAAAAAGGGTCGTTCTAACTGTTGGATGATTGTTGACGAGCTAAAAACACAGTTTACATGGTCAATTGGTTTAGCTTTGAAGCCCTTGCTGCCACTTAAAGAGAATATTTTTAATAAACAAGGCATATACCAATACAAATACTAACAAGTTTACTGATACTTATTATACTGAAACAACAGTGGTAAGCTAGTGGTGCTTTCATTTACTTCTTTTGCTGATGATAACATTTATTTTGGGGTATGACACTGTACATGGTGTACACCAATTCTGTGACATTTAATCCAACTGACAAGGAGCTCAGGATGATCATACATAAAGACAGGCTTTACAGACAAGGGTTGAGAAATAAATTGTTATGTAAGGAAAAAAAGATGTGTGATATTAACTTTAAGATGCTAATAAAAGCTCCTGGAAAGTTGTTTAAAAAATTAATTTATGTTACTTAATGTACTTACTCCTACAAGCACTGTCAAAAATCTGAGTGGAAATAACTCTTCTAACCAACAACCCCCGATGTCAAACACCTCAATTTGCTGTTTTTACCCTCCCTTGAGACTGAGTGGGCATATTTTCGAAGAGACATACCCATTGTTTACTCCCTCCCATCTGCCCCGTTCAACCCAGACAGTGGCTCTGTATGTCAAGGGCCTCCAAAAGTCCACATGCAGGAGGCAGAAGCGCAAGCTAACAGATTGAAACTCCTCCACCTGCCAAGAGGAGTAAGTCTTCCTTTTATGAGCCAATTGAAATTCAGCTCACAAGCTATCCATTTTGTCAATGACAAGAGGAGTCAGAACAACCTTGCAACCCCCAACACTAATAACACGGTAACGGTTGGAGATAGATCAAGTTGAATGCTGATAGTTAGGGTCAGTATTGGGCCTCCCGTAAGTGTTTATTGCAGCGAATTTTTGCCTTCATTTGTTTTGAGCAAACATATTCATCTACAGCTTTGGTTGATCATTATGTTTTCACCCCGGCAGCAGACTGACAAATTACCTGCAGTTATATGTTTGTTCAAACATGAAAAATAATGAATACAAGCGTATATGTTTAATGACCAACTACACAAAGAGTGGTCTCCTCTTGCGCTGTGTGCATCAGACCAATGCCAACCTCTGACCCCTTCTACTCCACTCAGTGGCAGGACAGGTTTATTACCACAATCTGAATAGCTTGAGAATCAATCCCTGAGAGGCTTTTCCATTCTTCCTACTGTACTATTCACTTGCATAAGTGTTTTGAATCAATACAAGCAGAGAGTAAAATGGGGGATTGGTCTCAGATCAGGCTGCTAATGGATCCAGGTTCAGCAGCATTAGGCACACTGCTGTAATCAACTCTGCCACTAGGAGGCAGTAGAAAGCATGTGATCAAAGTGCCAAATGTTTAGGGTACCCTGTCTGAAACAAAATAATGAACAGATCTATCTATCTATCTATCTATCTATCTATCTATCTATCTATCTATCTATCTATCTATCTATCTATCTCTTGAATTTCCCTTTGGAGATTAATTAAGTTCTTTTTCAATCTAATTTCCTTTCTATTATTATCTTATTTAGGTTTTAAAACACCCACTGGCTTATCAATACTGTATTCAGAAAAAAGCAGGATAATCAATGTAGAACACGCCACTGTTTCTACTCGTTTAAATACAATGGGCCGACATCAGACTGTTACGCTAATGGCAACGCAATAACATTGTTATTGTTCAAGATTAAGCACTTTTCAGCGCATCTGGCTCCGGTACACAAGCACTTGCAAACATGTCTTTGTATTCATGTAAACGAGTTTCCCTCTAAGAGAAGTTGTTTGGGACAATATGTAATTGCCCAAACATATTTTCAATATTGAACTAAAGTGCAGGCACACCCTTCACACGGGTTGAAAATCTGAGAGGGATTATCACGACTGGTGGTGGCGCGCTTCAACAGAGCACACGGGAGGCGGTGTCTGTCAGTCCGGAGAACTACGTCCTTCTGAGCTCACTTCCGCCGGCTCGAATCGGATCACCATTCTTTGCAGCGCTTTTGTTCTCCCATTTCAATCCAGCACCGCTTGCGAAAATAAGAACCTATCCGGTTGGAGCTGAGTAGCGGACCCTTCCGTTGCAGAGACGCCTGGTAGCTCTACATGCAAAGCGCTGTCTGCAGAGGAGATACGCGGCACTCCATAGTTGCATAACTGGACTACTTGTAATTTCGTTGTCGGTTTTTATTTCGATTTTTGTTGCATCAAACGGACTTCCTCAATAACTCAAAATGGAGAACGACGAAAAATACCTCCCTGAACTGCTGGCTGAGAAGGACAGCCTGGACTCGTCATTCACCCACGCCATGAAACTTTTAAACACAGGTAAAGTGCTATGGTGTGGCGTCATGTGTTTGGACGTGTACTGAACGATTCAAGCAAAAGAATGGTGGTGTTGTTTTTGTCAGGAAGTCTGAAAAAATTGATTCACGCTTTATAACGTTTGTTTTGGACAGGACCGAGTCAAGAAAGTGTTGTCACACCAGTGTTTGATTCACTGAATATGAGTGTGGGATTTGATGAAAATATAGGTAACTTTGTTAAATGTATTTAGCCTGAATCGACCGTGCCTCCTCTCGTGCTGTCACGACGTTTTGAATTGTTCGACTTTTCATGGTACCACGAACACGTCGAGTTTTAATTAAGAACACACACTTTCCTGGATAAAGCCTGGATTGTTTGTGATGTCAAACCCCTGTTGATCTTGTCGTCTGGAGGAGAAGTTAGTCTGCAGTCCAAAATACACGGCAGCATCCGTGACATAGGTCACCTCGTTATTTCCGAGCCGAGAGGCGGCCCATCAGCTGTGACAGAACTCCTGGAGTCCCGCTGTCTGTCTGTCTGTCTGTCTGTCTGTCTGTCAGGCGCTGCTGAAGCGTCCTTGATGGAGCGACTGCAGCTCCCAGCATCCTCACTGCTGCTGTCTCAAAGCGGGAGAGAGCAAAGAGGACAGCAGAGTGGACTGCTGCTGTGAGATGTTCGCCTTTGGTCAGCAGTTGGCTCAGAGACGCTTCTGTTGTTGTTATTATTGCGTGGCTCTCACGTGAATCGCGTGAAACAATGCAGGGACTCAGTGGACCAGTGTTACTGCAACGAACGGTGACATTTCATTAACACAATGAGAATGAAACTACACACACATCATTGGGACTATTGACGGTGCTCGTTCAGTCTTTTTCCTCTCTGTTGCTCACATATTCCACTAAGTTCATTACCTCAAAATGGTGGTATATTTAGGTTCCTTTAAAGAAAGCTATCTTGGATAACTGGTTATGCGGAATGTAACCTGATTTCTGAGCTGAGAAGGAAAAGTGTGTCATTGTGAGTGTGTTTTGGGCTCTTCATCATCTCAGCCTCCCCTGACCCGCAGATGCCGGGCTGTGGCATTGCGATGTATCTCCATATCCCAAGTTAGAGCTGCAACAGGCAGGGCTTAGACTTTGATTTCAATTTAGGTTTTTGGTACTTTGGTTACTGTGGTTAAAAAGAAAAAGATTACGACTAAAAGAAGTTTACTACCTTGATAATTACTCCTGTAATTAATTTGTAACGATTACTGGTTAATTTTTAGGATCTGTCATATTATACTAAAAATTGAACTCGCTCTCATTTCCAATGGTGCCTCCTTTATACTCTTGTTGTAGGACCAGACATCCAAAACCTGTAAAAATTCTGTTTCCAGCAATGGAGAGGGCTAATTTTGGTCTAGTAATCACTGGATGGTTAAATAATGGCATTTTTGTATGTGTGAGGAAAGAGCATTTATTTGTTCATGATCCCCTTCTTATTTTATATTTGATTTGAGGCCGTTCCTGAGTGCACCTACATTTCAGTGTCTCTCTTTGTACCGTGACAATAAAGAATCTTATCTCATTTTATTTAAAAAGCCACATCCAGCCATTGTTCTTGTGTTTTGTGATGGGAAAACATCTGAATCAGTTGTAAAAATAGTTGCCTGTTACAAAATTAGTCACCTCACTGTTGGGTCAGAATATTTAGAGGGCCACAAGAGTTGCTTTAGTCCTCTTTTGATTCATTATTACCTTGAAACTGCAGTGTTTGTTTGGCATGAAAGTACTGTTCTTTTAACAAGTTTTATTGTTTAAACCGTTAGAGAAACATTAAGATACAAAATGACTTGTTTTCATATGTAGGAATAAAAGGAAAGCAACCAAAATGTTACACACCTGTTAAAAACTGTAATTCTTCAGTGAAACTGAACTCATTTAAAGTAGTTGTGCACAGTTTACAAATCCCTTCTTGAATTAGTATAAAGTATGTGAATAATTACTGGTGAGACTTTGCTTTTTGAAACTCTGCCTAAGACTGTCCCTCTTTCTTATTTAGAAATTGAAAGACTCCAGAAAGGGGAGGCTAAAAAGGAGGCAGAAACGTACCTGGATCTTTTCACAACAAAGAACATCAAACTGAAAGAACGAGTACTCATACCTGTCAAACAGTACCCAAAGGTGAGCTTTCCTTGCCCCCGTTTTTCTTTTTTTCCCTCAGTCTTTTCCCCTCTTGATTTAATTTATCCTGCTGCAGAGTCTCAATTACATAGAGCCACTGGGTTACTTGTAAGTCTCAAATTACTCTTTTCAACCTTGATCTTTAAGCTGTGGTGTATAATTAAAGCTGAGAGCTGATACTGGCATGTTCCTGAATATTCCCAAAAGGAGAAAAATCTTCATCATTTTATGATCATGGAAACATTGCATTGCTCCTTAGTTCTTTAAGTCAACATTGGAGGAATTCTTATGTGTTTGAATTGAAATATGACTCTATTTCATCATGTAACCTCAGGTTTGTCCCTCCTTAGGCTGATGTTTGAAGATACTGGAAGACACATTTGACATTAAAATCTGTCCTTTAGAACTAGACTTTCTAGTCACATAACACTTAATCTGCATGCTGATGACATTTTTAAATTAATAATACCGTAAAGGGATCTAGGTTATGTGTATATATATATGTAGATGTACATGTTCAGTGTTCAAATATCTATGAGGTAGCTGCTGCAGATTACCTGAATGGTTGTAATGAGAAGTACGTGAAGGGGTATTACAGCACGAAAAGAGCTCATATCGACCGGCTCTGGTAAATCTGCTTTTTAAGGCTGCAGCATGTGCAACACAGCCCCTGACAGTGATTGCTTCTTTACTCTCCTGGTATAAAGCCGGGCCCTGCTTTGATTGTCAGGTTAATTTTGTTCTGCTTTGTTTTGCTATTAGTTCAATTTTGTCGGGAAGATTTTGGGACCTCAGGGTAATACAATCAAACGTCTGCAGGAAGAGACTGGAGCTAAGATCTCTGTGCTGGGCAAAGGATCCATGAGAGACAAAGCCAAGGTGATACACTCAGAGACACACACAGTTGGCATTTTACACCTGTGAAAAGGGTAAAAGCCAAAACACATCTGGCCTGTACTTCAGAGGTAAAGCAGGCAATGAGCCCAGATGATATCAGCTTGCAGAATAGTTTGTGTGAATGCAAATGTAAACCCAAGTGCACACAGGCATGTCTTTTACACAAAACCTGTTATCCTCCCATTTACTGATGTTATTGAGCTGCACTGAGGGTAATAAAAACACATCTCTGTCTTATGCAGATAAAATGTAATTAAATTCAGTAAAAATCATGGTAAATGAATACATTGATTTTATTGCAATGTTAGCTGCATGCCTTGACCTGCTGACACTCCTCTAATGTTGCCTTTGTTTCAGGAAGAAGGGCTGAGGAAAGGTGGGGAGCCCAAGTATGCCCACTTGTCCATGGAGCTGCATGTTTTCATCGAGGTCTTTGCCCCAGTGCCAGATGCCTACCTGCGCATGGCCCATGCCATGGAGGAGGTGAAGAAGTTTCTGTTCCCTGTAAGTTCGAGCCTAGATTTTTTAATTGTATAAGAGTAATTCAATTTATAGTCAAAGTCTAATTTGAGGGTTTTTTTCTGGCAGTAAGTTGGTGCTAATGACTTTAATTAAAATTAATCAGTCATAATTTAGATTAGTAAATTTTCCTTAAAGTAAAACAAGTTGATGTTTGAATTTATAATGTTTTAATAATAATAATATTGATAAAGATACGTACTTCAAAAAAAGAAGTCAATTCATTCCAACACCAAATGCTGAGACGTATTGACATGTAGAGAGCAGCAGAGAACTTTGAACTTATTCAATCCTAAAATGTAATTGTTAAGAAAAACTATGAGAAAGTTAAGATATCAAAATAATTTGTTTCTTAAAGTAATCAAAAAATTTCATGCAGAAAAATGATTAATTCATAAACACAAAAAACAAACCATTTGAATAGAAGGAAGGCAATTTGGTGTGAATGAAAGATAATTTTGCGAGACATTTTGATCTGTAATTGATCACAATAAAAATTTCAAAAGGAAACTGAACATTTAACAAATTGCTGATTTAATGTGACAATAGTCAAAATAATGTTTTAAAAACCCGACTGCCCTAATCTGTAACTCAGTTTCCACCTTCATGCTCCACGAGACCTTGCAGTCGAAGAAATTCAGCTCTCCTGTTAGTCATTTGTACAAAGTTAGAAAAAATACTTTGAATGCAAAACCTCAGCACTGTTGTTCTGCTCTTTCAGCAAAGCAGGACAAACCTCCATTGTCATACTCAATATGCACACACTAACCATCTGTACACACTTGGGTTATTGTATGGCTGAAGGTGTTCGAGCAGGAATGATACACACAGACACATTGTGAAAAGTTGCTTGAATCATTTTTGGACTATTACACTGAGGTTGTACTTTACTTGGTGGGAGTCCTAGTGTGTTACTTAGACAAAGGTCCATGTCTGACCTGTCCAAAGTGTCAAGAGAATTTGCAAGGATGTGTGCAGACCCCAGATGGCTGTGAGGTAGAAATAGTTAATCACAGCCTATTTTTAGTTGATTGGTTACATGCTGAGGGAACAAGAGAGCAAGCCAACCTACCGTCGAGGACCAATGAAACCCATAGTGCACTGTCTATGGTTTGATGCAAAGCAGGTCAACAGGCGAGGATTTCCACAAGATGCATGGCTGAAATTTACAAACGAGTGTGCAGGGTGCTTTGGAGAACAGGATCCTTTGTATCAGAGGCAAGACAAAGAGACTTATGGACCAGTTGCAGTTTTGGTATCACCATCTTGGGTAAAAAGTAGGGCTGGGGCGATTTGTCGACGTAATCAACGTAATCGACTACAAAAATTCGTTGCATGATGACGTAGACAATGGCTACTTCAGGTAACGGTGGAGGAATGGACAGCAAATGAGCTCCACCTCATGCATGATCTATGAGCAGCTTCTCTCCATCAATGCACGTGTTCTTCCTGGCTTCCTCGTTCACCTTTCCAAGATTGCGCCGCTTTCATTCAAGGAGACATGTAGTGAACTGTCAATCAAATAATCCACCGCTGGTGCAGCAAACGCCACAGTGAATGCTGCATCATACGCCCTGCATCCCATAACTAATTCATTCACTTTAAGCAGTTAGCTCGGAGTTGAAGTATCAGTTTTGTGTTTTTATTTGTCCCTCAACTCGCTAATTAATCAGCTGTGGAATCACCAGCGATTGCGAGCACCGCTGCACATATACTGATACCATACCTGCCAACACTCCCGTTTTTCCCGGGACTCTCCTTTATTTCAGACCTATCTCCCACCCTCCTCCCGTATTGTCATTTCTCCCGGGAATCTCCAATAGTTTTCATTTACATTCATTCATGAATCGGATCACGATATTTGTCCAAAGTTGCCAGGTTTCCAGACAACTTTAGATTGTTATGTGTTTCTGCTGAGCCTCACAGACACTGAATTGATGCTTTTACTTGACAGTTTGTGATGATTCAGGTCGGTTTAAGCTGTAAACTACATTTAAACAGTGTTTGTTGCAAAATGAAAACTTCTGTGAAAGGGAAACAAATGTGAGATATAATATTTACGTTGATAGTCTTGCACCGTCTCAGAGTGATGTGTTTAGGGCAGCCTCAGATAAAAGAGTGCTGTATTGCACACACAGATGTTCAGAGAGCCTTATACGGGAGAGCATGTAAAATATACAAGGACTCTAACACTAATATTAGTGGACTAAATAAGTTCAAGACATATCGTAGCTAATATTATTTTTTTATTACCATTTGTTATTGTTAAAAAAAAAAAAGTGTGCAGCTTCACTTAGACTTATTTGGATGAGCAATCTAATTACAAATACTCTCATAATGAGCTCATATCCACCGTACAAGGTAACCCCAAAACTGCCCAGCGCACGCTGCAAAAATCTACAGGAATTTATAACCTAAATGTTTTGTTTTGTTTGATTTCAAGAGATTCTTGACTAAATCATTGAATTAAATACTAATAGGAATAGGACAAGTTTTGACTTGCTATTTTGGTTAAATTCATTGTAATATTAAGAATAACTTTTCCTGAAGGGAAATTCAATATTAATTCAATATTAATATTGAAAAAATAATCTTTAGAATAATCAATAAATTAGTCGATAGAGTAGTCGACTAATCGAAAAAATAATCGTTAGATTAATCGATAGGAAAATAATCGTGAGGTGCAGCCCTAGTAAAAAGCTCTGTCCTGCAGAACCTATCTCTAAGAATTAACGCCATAATCTGTCAGGTTTGACAGCCTCCATTTGGAACAGGGTCATATTTTGATATATTACCGAGGTTTCACATAAAATGCTTGGACATGATTTGTTGCTGAATGTTTTATGCATTACCTGCACTACTCCATGTGTAATCTAGAAGGCTTTGCGGCTACCATTCTTCCTTGTCCCCTTTACATCACTGTATCTGTATGTCCACTAATGTAAATGCTACAGCAGAGCCTTGCTCCTGTGCAAAAGATTAGCATATCTTGTTATTTTTTATGCTGGCTCTGTGCACATTTCTTTGTTTCACAGAATGTTGTAGACAAAGGAAATGTGTTTATTTAAACACCTTGTTCGGTAAATGGGCGTAGTCTGTAAGGCTTGTTAGATGCATCTGCGGTGACACCCCATCTTGCCTGAGAGGATTTCATAATCATCCAAATGGCATGTGTTTTTTTCTTGTTATGCTGCAGTTATTTGGAAGCTGCATTCTGGGCTACATGTTTAATAATAAGCATTTTCTTGTCGCTATGGATACATCTTCATCATCATTGCAGGAATTGATTTATGGAAAAAAAATGGACTGGGTCACAGTGCAGCCGCTGAGATTGCCCCCTAAAGACAGGCAGCCGATTGTTCCAAGATTTGTGCTGCTTAAATGGTGTCACCTACACATCCCCATGTCTTGTTGTTGTGGATAGAATGAGGCGATGGCAGATTTCGTCACACAAGAATTGTCTAGTAGTATTGGAACAAGTGATTTACATTTGATGCATGATGGTGAGACACAGGAAGGCAGAGAAAGTAGATGGATGCTTTCCAGCCTCCCACATCCATGACCCCCTGTCCCTTTCCTTTAGCACCCTTGAGTCACAAGCACATGGACTTTTTTCTTCACTCTGTTAGCCATTGGTTCAGTGCTGTGCTGTGAGCAGCTCAATAACTGTTTTTCACTCTTTTATACATCAGTCAGTCTTTAGCTCCACGCCCTTTCCCCTTCTATGTCCTCCTGTCCTCATATCTACCCTCTTTTTGCCTTTATTTGATAGGACAGTGTAGTGAGTGAGTGAGTGAGTGAGAAAGAGAGACAGACAGAAAGAAAGAGAAAAAGAGAGACAGAGACATGCAGCACATGGTCAGGGCCGCTGCAGAGACCACAGTCCACATATGTGGGTGATCCACACGCCTCAACCCACTCCTGCTTTTTTGATGCATACACACTTGTCATGTTTGCCATCATATGCTCATTTCTCACACCCTCTATCCTCTGTCTGTTTTTTCATTGTGCCTTGTTTCTCAATGTGCATTTGTGTGTAGGATATGATGGATGATATCTGTCAAGAGCAGTTCATGGAGATGAGCTACCTTAATGGAGGCCAGGAGCATGGAGCCCGAGGCCGAGGGGGCCTGCCAGTCAGGGGTCGGGGAGTCCCCCCTTCTGGCACACACAGGTTTGGAAAAACACAAATGCATTCAAACACAGGGACCTTTCTGTACCAGCTCACCACTAAAGTATAGAGACGGGAGAAGCAAAGGAGCAGCCAAATGCTTAAACAGAGAGTTTTTGTCCTTGGGATAGATTTTCTGACCAACACATGCTCGCCATCGAAGTCATTCATAATAAAACCAAGAAGCTGACACAAAAGCTTCTTTCCATCGAACAATCATTACGCTGCCATGACATTGTTCCCATTTACTGGACCAACTTTACATGTAAAAGAAAAAAAAAACATTTCTTTATGTTTGATCAAATTTTAACTTTCAAACTTTTACTGCTGAAGGTGGATGAAATGTAGATAAACAGATACTTGTGTACAAAGTCACCTTGGTATTTACATGTACTCTAGTGTTCAAAGTCATCTGAAGCAAAAGTGAAAGATTGGAGTTGTCTAAAGCTTTAGAGACACAGGTCTAAATGATGAAACTGCTTTTAAATATACACTGAGAAATTCTGTAATTGTGTGTGAAACTGAGATTTTGTGTTTTGTATTGATACTTTTCCAAGTCTTCGTGCCAGTGTTTGTGTTGAGCTTGAAGTTAGCCTGCTCTTGTAAATTGGCAGTTGTTTATGATTACCTGCAGGCTGTGGACGTGCTTGAAAGTACGATACTCTATTAGCTGATGGCACATTTCAAAAGAGCGTGAGTGTCCGTTTGTTTTTGTAATCACCAACCAGGTAACCAGTCTCAATGCCGCTGAGGTCCAGAACTAGGTGGATATATTCACTTGTAGAAAGTGTGTACTATTATGCTGTATAAGCACACTGAGCTCATTTCTTGCTCTGAGTAATCAGCCACAGCCCAGCAGCTTTCTCTGGAATAGCTTCTTTGTTTACAGAATGCTCTGTCTGTCACTCAAAGTTTATTGCAAACCAAAGTTTATGAAAATTAAGACTTCATTCAGAAAATGTCTTCATCACACACACTGAGCTGTCTGACAGTTCACCTCATATTCTGAACTGTTATTCAATCTGAAGGTTGTAAACTTGCTTGTAAGACCACTCCACAAAATTATCCATGCCGATGACATGACAGAACGGACCCTGTGCAAACTACTCCTATGCTACATGTTTGCAGAGTACGGCTTTAGATAGTCAGCAGTGATACTGTGGAGAGAGAAGTTTTTCAATCCTTTGAAACACTTTGAACAAAGGTCTTTTTATTTTTATTTCAAAGGAAAGATCCTCTCTTCATATGACCTTCCTTTTTGAAAGTGCGTGAGTGTGTAAAAATACGCCAAGGAAATCTGACAATGATATCAATCAACTCATCCAGCTCATGGAAAGATAACAAAGACCCATACTTTGTGATGACAACACCTTGTTCCTTTTTCTAGGGGTAGAGGAATGCCTCCTCGGGGAGGTGTGACTAGAGGAGGCCCAGGCAGAGGTGGGGCACCAAGGGGTGCTCCAGCTGGTCGAGGAGGACCTCCTGCAGCCCCTGCCAGGGGAACGGTGTCAGGCCGTGCCAGGCCCCCTGCTGGCAGTCCCCCTCAGAGAATGGCACCTCCACCCCACCACCAGCACACGCCTGCTGCATCCGGGGAGAGCTACGAGGATTACGTTAGTACACAATATCTTCTCGTAATGATCACTGTTGAATTATCTCATTAGCTGACATGCGGATGTGGTTTGCAAAATGATATCAAAGGCTGTATTATGATATTGATTGCAGTTCTTATTATAAAGACAAGTGACGTATCTTGTTGAATTAGAATTTTGATAGATTTACAAATAAGAAAAAGGGAAGAGGTGTTCAGTCAAAAAATGATGTGCTCTGTTGTGACTAAACACTGGTGTGATGTAGCCATTTCAGGTCGTCTTTTTTTTTTGCCTGTCTCTTAATGACTTTGCTCGGGGCCCTCTGTTTACATTCAGCAAATGAATTGCATGTCTGTGCACAACATGATGGGAGCAAGCCCGCTTTTGTTCAAGCTTTGTACTTAGGGGACACCTTGACACTCCTGATTTATGAACAAGCCTCTGCTTACATCTCTCTCTGTTTCTCTGTTTCCTCTCCTCTCCAGGGCTACGATGAGAGCTACACAGACACGGCCTACGAGTCATACGACAGCTATTACAGTCAGCCGCAGGCGTGAGTGAATCAGACGTCTCTTTGGTTTTCACCTGCTTCTCATAGAGAGCACGCACATTGCCTAGTTACAGAGAAAAGGATTTGAGAGGAGCAGAAATACATTTTAGACACTCTGCAAAAATTCGGTGCTGATGGAACTTCATGTTTCATGGCTTGGAAGGCGGTGTTATTAAGGAGAACCAGCCGGGACTAAGATGTTTCATGCTTTGGCGTTAGCTTTGATCTTATTCATGGAAGCCAATTATCATCCCTCTCGACATTTCTGTCAGCAGCTACTTGATGTTTTTCAAAGATTAAAAGTTATTTCTTCTCTCTCCCTCTTTTTTGAACCATCAGAGAGCCTGAGTACTATGACTATGGACATGGAGAGACAACTGAGTCTTATGAGTCGTATGGTGAGGGGAAATTTTATTGATTGTTGACAAAGGTGACCTACTTCTTAAAAAAAGGGTTCAAAGAGCTACTCCCCCCAAAAAACAAACAAACAAACAAACCAAAAAACAGTTTGGTGTAAGGTGAATATTTTTGTTATTTAATTTAAGTGGTATTTTTAATGAAGAGGCCAAACTGTGAAGCTGCAAACACTGGGAAAGGTTATGCGATCATTTAATTTACAGTGATGATAGGGGTGTACAACAATGGTTTACAGTAAATATACGGCAACAGTCCCTCATTCTTCATAGTGGTTAGACAGAGTTTTAAAATAACAAACTAACAGTGGTTTCTGTTGATTGGTGTTAAATGCCTTAAAAAAATTCTACTCAACAGCCAGAAGAGCTATTTTTGAGATTGCTTTAAAGGCACTCTGAAGATTTTGAAGAATTGAGCAGTAAGTTGAAGGTTTGCCAGTGTCTGGCTTTGTATAATATAAAATCCTTTTGTGCAACTCCAACTTGCACTTTAATGTTAGGAGATTTGCCTACTGGGTTAGGATGACTTACAATTAATAAAAAAAAGGGGGGGGGGGCTTCAATTTTAGACAATTAGTTTCTTTTTAATGAAACCTGAAGTTGATTGAAACCAAATGAATAATTATTCATGTTGTTTTCCTTTGTGTGTCCACTTTAGGCCAGGATGACTGGAATGGAACTCAGCGCGCAGCTCCAGGGAAGGCCCCGCCCCCATCCAGGGGTGCCAAGACATCATATCGGGAGCACGCATACAGACAGTACTAAAGCGGACTCACCACTCTTAATGTGTCGCCCTGACTACCGCCTGTGTACCACGGCAGCTCTTGGTTTAAGCAGCCCGACAAAAGTAATTGTCCGTTTTGTCTTGGTTTGGTCTTTCCTACACTGGACTTTACATGAAAAAGCAAATTGAGAACTGAAAATCAGAACTGTTTTTTGAGATTTAACCACGTCCACGTCCACCTCCCCCCACCTCTACTTTGTCATTCCAACAAACCACCTATCCAACCAGCCACCATACCCACAACCAAAGCGGCTTTTAGATGGGTCAGAGAGAAGTTGGCATCTTTACTTTGTACATTTTTCTTTGAGGTTTTGGTTATTTTGCTGTCATTTTTTTCCTCTTACCCTTTTTAACCCGACTGGCTTTTTTTGCAATGTTTATCCTCAATTTTTAACTGTCCGGGAGCATTCATTTCTAGCAGAGTTAGGGGCTTATGATACACTTGTCTAAGGAACTCATTATAAATGTTTTTAAAAAGAATCTGTTGAGGGTCAGTTGCAGATTCCCATTTAGGCTACATTTCAAAATTCTGTTTATATAGCCAAATAAAATACCTTATTAAAATGTTAATTATGTAATATAAAAACAACAGAAAAAAAACTATCTAAAAGTAAGTAATGGTTAAGAATCAATGTTAATGGAATCATTACATTTCATTCTTGATGGTTTGTTTTAAATAGCCCTTAAACGTTGTCCATTTAGAATTAGGCAGCAATATTTGTCATTGTACTTAGAGTTTTGAAATATAGCCCTAATAGACACTGTTGAGATGGACTGTCCTCATATCCTCAATTTGTTTTACATGTTAAAAATACATTTTCAAACTCTGAAGACAAAATGTTTGTTGGATGAGAACATGGCCATGAGATGGCCTTCTGTTAAGCGACCCCCAGTCCAGGTCTTCATTTTGTGATCTGAATTCCTATAAACTGCATGCACAAAATGTTCACAAAAAAGGATTGGGACAAAAATCTCCACATGGGTCTTCTCTTTTGCTAGAGAGAAGGGATCCTGCAGCTCAGTCTGAACTCTTGTACATATTTTAAAACATCCTAACTGTACGTATTCTGCCACTAGTATCTGTACCCTCTCCATAAAACGCATTATGCTACATGTGTAAGCTTGCCTAAATAGGATACTAAATCTGTCCAAAAGATGTTTTGAAGCAGTTTGTCAATAAAGCTTAGTTTGTTTTTAAGAAATTTAACTTGCTTTATTTGTTTGCTGTCCTAGTAAAATTTTGAAATGGCTTTTTTTAAAAAAAATTTCAAGCAGTCAGATGTAGGTGTTTTCATTTGTTTCTCATTCAAAACCGCATTTTAAATCTAAATGAATGTATTGACGTCTGACAACTTTAACCCTAAATGATGTCTTGATTGATTATCAAAAGAGCACAACTTATTCTTTCTCTCTCTTTCTATACTTTTTAAAAAGGACCCAGAGGTAAGACCTCTAAAATAACCTGGATAGCTTCCTAATGTGTATAGAGTTCTAAAGCATTGATTGCCTGGGTATGTATAAGACTTTTTCAATCCTCTTACCTGTGGTCGTAATCGTTAATGAGAATTGCTTTTATAGCATCTGAAAATTAACTGAATTCAAACCACCATTCAGGTCTAGGCTTCATTGTCATGAATGACCCTGGCGCGATGGCTTTAGTACAGAGTAATGGCAGTGCAATGGAGAGGATGGTTATAACCTAGAGAACTCCACTGTAAAGGTAACCTAACCCTAAATGTTTAATTTCCTAGTGTGTTTATCTATTGACATAAACTTGCTGGTAAATGCGTACAATTTCTTAAAATATTATTACAGTTATGGCAACAACAAAAAAGAACCAACTCAAAAGTAAGAAAAACCTATTGTCCAATATCATACACTAGTGGGTTTTATATACCAAAATAACTGTTCTGTACAATAACAAAATCTATTAGAATAGCTTTAATGCAACTCTTGCTAAAATGAACAAAGTCAAATCTATGGCAATATCTTCTATACATTGAAGCTGCAGTTACTTTTTTATTTGCTATGTAAAGGTTGCTTACTGTAATTAAAAGGGCTCTGCCTGTACAAAGTTATTCCAAATACAAGGCTTGAGTTGCATGAGCATATCTTCTCCTGTAGAGATTGCATGATGTCTGTCTCAAGTTTCTCCCATTGTTTTTCGACAGGGTATTGATTTTGTGTTTGTCATTCCTCTAGGCACAGCAAATGGTCACTGAGTGCTCCAGACACTGACAGTCTAGAGGAGGGAGCCCAAAGACAAGTCAGGTTGGTTTCCTGCTCAACCTGTTTCCATTCCCCCGGTCCATGCCCCTGGTTTTCGCATGCTCAGACCACTGACTGAAAACCAGCAGTTTTCTAACTACATTGGCTCCTAAACATTTATTTTTCTTTCTACCCATAGAAAAGGCTCTAGGCAGCCTTATCTTTTGACTTTGGTTATATACTGTTTAATCATCAATCTGCATAATTATTTTTTAATTACAGAAAAAAATTAATTGTGATTACAGGAATAATCTCCCACATTTATGAATGCAGTTACTCTTGAAACTTTGGTATGAAAGTGGACAAAAAGATATTCAAGATGGTTTTCTGTCTGCAGCCTCTTAAAGAGAACCTTCCTTTTTTTGGGAATGTGCTAATTGGTCTATACCGTACATGTGATGTCATAAGTTTGCATTGCAGAAGTAAAAGAAATAAAAGAAAAGACAAGGCCACGCCAAGATAACTTCATCTGCCTACCATTCAAAACAAATGCATACAAGTTTTTCTGTTATGTTTTATTTACCAAGGTCCAGCTGTCTCATAGTCTCATTTATAAAATGGCACATCTACCTTTTCAATTCAATCCTACCCTCCTATCTTTGGACAGAGCTGATGTTTTTCAGTCCCTACTTGCAAAGTAACTTTGAAAAAGCTATCGATATCTCCCTGTGTTGGGTTAGCCTGATACATAATTTGCAGGTAATGGTGTAAAACATTCAAAACCAACAGGAGGGTCTCTCTAACATCATTAATTTCTTATACGCTGCAAAAAAAGAACAAAATAAAAAAAGCTCTGCTGATGCCTGTGGCCATGTCAGCCGGAATAAAATTATGCAGCAGCAGCACGTTCATAATATTCACAGTATTTCATAGGTTGGCTGATTTTGATGATTGCCCAGCTCCTCTAAGTTGCCCGGCTTTTGACAGTGCCTGTGAATTGGTGTGTAGCCATGCTAGCCTTCAGCGAGTCTGAGTGTGTAAGAATATCATGCTGGTGTCAGTGTAGTCTCGGGGAAAGTGACTAATGAGGATCTGTAGCTCAAGGCTCTCTGACAGAAGGAAAACAGAAGTGAGAGAGCTGTGGCGATCCCCAAAATGGAACCAGCAGAAGGAAAGAGTTGTCCGAGGGATGGCTCATAATTCCCTCTCTGTGCCGAAGGCAGGAGAAAGAAACACTTGGGGAAAAATCTGTCCTTATTGGTAGGATGTCAGAAACATTAACTATATTGGCAATCTTTTTGTGGAAAGCTGGGTAATAACCCATTTAAGATTATCTTGAAATGTAATTGGATAAGAAAGATCACTGTCTTGTCTGGAGAATGTGTACAACATCTCCCTACTGTGATAAGACATATTTCTTTGTGTATATAATACAGAATGGGCTTCTGAGCAAAATTAAAGTATTCAAAAAAAAAAAAAAAAAAGGGTCTCATATCCAGATTTTGTAGAAACCTCCAGAATACTCTGAGGCCTGTGACCACTGCTCATGGGAATGTTCAGTACTCCAGTTCATTCTTTACTGTAATGCCAGGGATAAGAAGTTACTTTGCAAGAAGTTGCTAAACTGTTGTCAAAAGGCTTTGTTGCTTAGCACGAAAAAGACCATTTTTATTCATATTACCATTGCCAAAAAATGTGTGAAAAGAAAGCTGTGTTTTGGCAAAGATTACTTTTGACCCATCAATAAATAATTGTGAAACAGAGTGACTCAAGAACCAGTGATGTGTGTTTTTCTGTGGGCTTACGACAGCCTCTCTCATGGTTTTGTCTCCTATCCAGTGAAGCGACACACAGAAGCAGCTCAGCATGACGGAAGTGGTCAAGCCAAGCACACACGGGGCTGCCCTGTTCTGTCCCCGGCTGGGAGGGGCTGTGGTGGTGGGCTGCCAAGTGACCCACAGTTGCCTGTTGATTTAGTGCAAATCTGGTGCAGAAGCCCTCTGGAACACAACTGAAATTGTGGCTGGTCAGTGAAGACAGGACAGAGCTCGCTGTAATCCACTGTTTTTTATTTCTTTTTTTTTTGTTTCTGTTTTTTTTTTTTTTTCTTTTCTTTTTTTTTTGTTTGTTTGTTTTTTTTGGCCATTTCTACAATTCTTCTCCATGTTAGATCATTCAATGCAGTATCCTTTAATTACCTTTGAACATTATTTATTGATGGTCACTGGACCCCTGCTTATTGTATGCATCTCCTGCAGACCACCCACTCTTCTCATGGATGAAATTGTTACCGCCTCATTTGGCATAAAATAATCATTCTTGTCATAGGAGGCAGTAAAAATGTTTTTAATCTCTTTTAACTGTAGAGTTTGAAAAGAAAACAACTTTGTTTTTTTTTTAATGTCCGTTGTACTCAGTCAAAATCATCACATCTGTGTAAGTTGTTGTTGTTGTTGTTGTTCTTGCTGCATGTTGGGCAGTATCTTTGACTTATTGCTGTGTGAAATTTGACTCAGTGCACAAGTTAAAGTTAAAGATGCCCGCAAAGTGTGGATCTCTATCTCTTCACAGACGGGTTCACCACAAGCTCACACAACAACACACACGAACACACTCTGCCACATCTTGGCAGTGCACGGCCTGTGTAGCCCTGAGGATATCAAATGCTAATTCAGTGGCCTATTTGCATGTACTCACATGTACCCTCCCTACAAATGTGTAACACTCTTATAAGCAACACTGGCCTGGATGCTGCTTTTCAGCATCCAAGTATGATAATTCGGTGAGATGGGCCCAGGAGGAGAGCTGCATGTGAGAAAGGGACAGAGGGTGAAGGCAGACATTACGACTTCCCACATCTATCCATCATGCCTGTGTTGATTCGATTCCCCTTTATGCCATTTTCAGCCATTATCGCTGGTGATATTACAGCTGCCTGTGGTGCCGAGTTACATTTAGAGGTCAAAACTATACTTTCCTGTATTAAAAACACATTTCGCTTACCCGATTCACTGGTCAGATGCAGCATTAACCAACTCAGAGGCTCCATTTAGTTTATAGAAAAAGGAAGCTGCTTAGAGGATAGAACATTAGATATTAGGGCAGAAACCTTCATTTAAGATGAAATGTCAATGGGCCATATCCAAAACAGATCATTTTTCAGTCTTGATGAGCTATTATGTCTAAAATAATGATTTTTGTGTCTCCTTTAATCTAATGAAAGATAAGCGATGGTGTGAAAGCCATCTCCTTCGCTTTAATCGATGAACTGTCAACAGTGTAAGAATGGAAAGAAAGTAAATGTTACTGTGCTGTGATCAATAAAAGTAGACTTGAATTTAAGCAAGCCATGTATTAGTCATCTATAATGTTTCCTCTTTGCTGCAACAGTCTGCTACACAGTCTGCTGTTTCCATTCACTTCAGTGCAAGCAGTGTGGTGCAACCATACGTGGGAGAATAGATGGAAAAGGTGAGAGACAGAAGGCCAGGCAGGGTGAGAGTTGGGGGTTATACTGCGTGTGGAGGAGGATGTGGGAAAATACTGTGAGTGTGTGTTAGAGGTGAAGATATTGTGGGCAGAAATGGTGGACAGCTGGATTCCATCTTCTGGTCGTGGAGGATTCACACCATCAAAGGAACATTGCATGCTGACGCCTGTGAAGACTGTGACAATCAGCCTCCCCCAGAAACTAATCAGCTGCTGCTTCAGCTGCACAGACAGAAATCTAGGTGACTGTTGGTGTTCCGAGTGGGATGAACTGACCTCCAAGTGTCCTTGATCTCCCAGAGGGAATGCAGGTGAATACTTACACATGTATTAGGATGGCTAATATAGCAGGCAGTCTGTGCATTGGAAATTGAGATCTATGTACCAGTACAACCAGATAATAAATATAAATCTACTACAAATGACATCTGGCAGCTGAAATCAGACATGGGGACTGCAAAGACTTATGATAATCAGAGCAGCCACAGGTAATCAGATTGACGAGCCTATAGACTTTACCCAAGCCATGATTTCCTTTCCTGTGCTGGTCATTGTGGGGGTTATTGGAGCTACTTCAGTTTTAAGAATGCGCTGAGCAGGAAGGATGACCTCTATGACCAGATTGTAGATGTGGAGATGATTTAAAAGAAAGGAATCATGGCTTTATCCCCATTGTACAATAGTCTGGCCTGGAATCCCATAATGACTTACTGCCTCTTTTGTTCTCTGATGTGTTTCTGTAGTCGCACACAACTGGAGCCAAATTAAAGCTATTTGAATTAATTTGTCAACACGAACACCAATGACACCAGACGTCCAAGCCTCTTCTTACATGTTCAATACTCAAGAGAATTTATATATCCAAAGAGATCATGTTGAATTCCTTTTATCATAGAGTTCTTTCTTCCTACATGTTAAGTTATGTACTGAGAAATGAATGAATGATGAAAAGTTGAGATGTCGATAGCCTCCAGAGAACATTATCGTTCTGACACTATTGGTCATTACATGTCATTCTTATTTTTTTTCTCAGAAAACACCTAACAATCCCTGTTCTTAAGAATATTTTGTGAAATGATGAGTTGAATTAAAGTTTCATATGATGTAGAGAATCTAGTGGGCTTCATTTTTCTCTCACATCAGTAAATGAATTCTGAATGAATGAGCACAGGACAGTTAGGTAAGAGGTGAAATGGTTTTAAACATGAAAAATTCAGCTCAAAATATTTTTGCTCTGCACCTCTCTTAAATATCTGATCACATGCCCATAATTTGGGTGCTGGAAACACACGTCTTATATTGGTCCAGGGGTGTTCTGTTGCCACAATTGGATTTTGTTTGAACTACTGTAGTGCATGGTATTGCACTGTTGGACATTTATAGCTATCTGTTTCTTTACTAGAATATATGTTAAATGTTAGTTCTGAATATTCATATGCATGTTACTCTTTTTAATTAGGTCACCTATGGCTGTTTGGCTGCCCCAACCTCATTTTCAGATCAATGAAATCCCGCAGAGGGGAAATCTACACAATAAGATCCAACGCCTCAATCCCCACTCCCTAGCACCACAGGTCAGAGCAGCACTTTTAATGAACTTTGGATCCTAACAAAGGCCAAAGTGATCAACAAAAGTAGTCTAAAATAAACCTGGAAACAGAACTTCAGTGACAATTATCTAACCCGAGATCCTTACCAATAAAAACAGAAATAGCAAGAGGAGGGGTGAGCAGGCTGCAGCAGCTAAGACTTAAGAGTGGTGTCACTCTTGATCCAATCTTGTCACAGCCAATCCGTTCAAATTGGTCAATAAGACACAGCACCTGCATCAGCACCTCATTCACTGGCACACCTTCACAAACACATTCGTGCAGATACACCCACAGTCTGCAAGAGGAGACAGAACTGAAGGAACAGAATTATCACTCAGGGTCCTGCCAGGTCCTTGACCAGGAAGGCTTTACCATGGGTCTACAGTGTTGGAAAAAAGTTTGGAATATTTGTCAATTCAACCCCAGCCTCGTGTTTAACGCGGTCTGCTGCTTTCTGGAGAATTATTCAAAGACTTTTTAATGTTCCCTGGTCTCTGTGATATGTTTTTGAAATTCACATCAAACTATTTTGTTTCTCAAAAAATTGTAGGGCGGACACCTCATGATTCACAAAAAGCCATAGAAATAACGCATAAAATCATGAGTCGGTATTTAATAAATAAACGGCTGTAATTTTAAATTGCCACAAAATACGTGGACCATCTTTGAAAGCAACATCAAACATAACAAGACGATAACAACAATACAGTCAGTACTTTGTGTGACCGCCTCTAGCATTGTACAATGCGCGTACACGTCTGGGCATGCTGGTCAGTAGGTTGGTAAGAGTTTCAACCGGGATTTCTCGCCAGCATTGGATCACAGCCTGAGTCAGTTCAGCCACGTTTGTTGGAGGATCATTCACGTTACACGAAACACTGAAGAAAATATTCCAAACTTTTTTCCAACACTGTACATGGAGCATTTTCTCATATTTTTCCAGCCTTTCAAACTATGTTGTAAACTAGTACATACATTTAATAATATTTTCAATTTTATCCTTTTTTTTTTCAAATTGTTTTTCAGCTGTTTTTTTTTTTTTTGCACAAGACAGTAACTCAAGTAGGCTAATGTTAGTTTACAAAATAAGATACAGGTCAGCTTATATTTGTCAGTGACCTCAATGTCATTGTTATATATTTTAATCTTACGGTTTTATCTTTCAAAAAGTGTAAACTTATATTTTTTTTAGCTTGTTTAAATTTTATACTCATACCTTCCTGTGTTCTTTTACATTTATGAAAAAAAATAAACATTTTATTTAATAGAATATTTGATATCATATAAGGTTGTCCTTAAAAGATGGTACATAAAAAAGCAGCTGTTCCAAGTTAACACTAAACTTTGTCCTGGAACACACACTTTGTGGGGGCCTGCATTGGTGACCACCTGAGGGGACTCCACACTTGAAAAAGGATCACCATCACATCACCAACATCTTCAATTTTTTTCTTTTTATTTCTAAAGAAATTTGTCTTTGTGTTTAATTAAATGAGATGACATGAGCCTTATTGTCTCTGCAGGAAATTTTGTCAAGGGGATAGTGCAAAAAGAACTTAAAACTCAGTGCTACTTCAATTTACAAAGCAAAACATCGCAGAGACAGCAATCATATTTCAGACTGAAGCTTAAAACAGATTTTAAAGAAGGACTGAGTAAAACCAGGGGAACATACTGAACCTCAGGTTGGTTGTTTACGGTGTACATAAAGTTAAAGGATATAAACAGCGTAAATCTGTTGCACTTATCCATGTTTGCCACGTTTCACAAAATGTTGTGAGATGCATAATAGAAGCCTAATTTACCTCCGAAAAGAAACGAACACCAGCTTGAACAGCAGCAACCACTTCAACAATTGTTCACCGGCTTGGATTGCAGGAGCATTAAAATAATTTGACCTCATTTCAAGTTTGTAAGAGAGAATGGCATGTCCAAGAAATCATCCATTTATCAGTACTCTATCATTACTCATCTCCTGATTTCTCAGACACTGTGAGCTGCCTCTGCACGAACAATACATCAAAAATGTTCGTGGCACTTACTTACTGTCTCTCTTTGTGTACATTTGAGATTATTTTTAGAACATAATTAAAGATTTTACTGGGCTCCAGCAGCCTGTATCTGTGAGCTGCTACCTCCCGATGAGCCTAACTGCAGCCTGAGGTCCTCTAGCAGGGCCCTTCTCATAGTTCCTAAATCTCACCTGGTTACAAGAGTTGACCGAGCATTGGTATTTTGTACTCCACAGCTGTGGAGCTCTCTGCCTGAGGACAAACAGACTTACTCAGTGTCCTCTTCTTAAAAACTCACTTCTTTGGCTTTCTCTCAATGTGTGTTTGTAGCCTTCATCTATTTTTTTTTAACTATGGGATCTTACTTACTTGTACTTATAATTGGTTATGTGTTTGAATTTTTAATCAATCTTATTTATGGCTTCTTGTTTTTTTCAACTACAGCTTTATTTTACCTCATAGTAACAATGTCTAATTTTCAAGCAAAGATATTCAAATCAACAACAAAACAATCGCAGAGAGACAAAAAAAAAAGTATGAGCAGTGTAATTAATGTCTCTTTTTATCTCTTGATTTTCTTTCATGATATGAATCATGGGAAGCATGTCTGTGCCCAGGGACCAATTGACCCAAAATAACTTGTGAAAATCGAACAACATGTGGCATTTTTGGTGTCTGAATAATCAGCATTTTTTCCCTCATTTTTTTCTGAGAGTTCCTATAATATGTGCAAGTAAAACAAGAGACTTTAAAAAGCTGTATGTTTGGTGCTTGGGTGGGAATTTTTCCCCCCATCTCTCTTGTGCTGGCTACTGAGAACTCAGTCATCATAGATAGCAAATCTCAGTGGAAGCTGGGGGAGACAAAATAGGGCAGCTACGCAAAGAGAACGAATCTTAATTTTGAAACGGTTTTCATGAAAGACTTATAACATGCCACAGTGCAATGTGGGATCCTCTAGAGCAAGCCTTTGTGAGTCTGTGAGTGTATGCATGCAAGAAAGAGACTGGAAGAACATCTTGGTTGTTTATTAATGAAAGACTGAGTGAGAGGAACAGCGAGTGCCTCTGTCTGTGTATATCAGTTTTTGCAGAAAAGACAGAGAGGGTGATGGAAAGCCAGATAGATTCGGAGTACCTTTACATATCTGTGTAGGAGGGTATTGCTGGAAAATGTCATACCTGTCATGTTACCGAAGTAACATTTATCAAGTGGTGAGATCACATTTAAAGATCAACTCAGCTGTCTTTTATTGTGGTTTACAATCTGAGAGCTGATGACAACCAGACCTTTCACTAATCCCATTGGTATTCAAAACCGTGTGTGTTCACATGTTCCCATGTGGCTGGAAGGGATCAATAAGACTCGAGCTTTACTGGAGTCAGCCTTTCTTTAATGTACAGACAGCTCAGGTGCACTGTTGGGGAAACAACAAATGGGGCTCCAATTGGCCCACTGGTGGTGTTCTCAAGTGTTTTAGTCACTTTTGGTAACCATCAAAATAATAGAATTACTTCTCCCTATCTCAGCCTGAGGCAATTTGCCAAGAGAGAGGTACGTTTTAAATCAAGGTTGAGGAAAAGATGGAGGACCTTTCAGTAAAGGCTCATATCAAGAGTGGTTTAGGTCCCTCTGTCAGATCTGTCGAACTGCAAAATCATCTACTTTCTCTTCCTTTAACCAATTCTGGCATTCCTTAAACTGAACAGAAGGAGTAGCAACATTTTTGATCAAGCTAGACAATCATGGCGTTTGTTAAGATTCACTTTAATGGTGTGATATGTAATTCTTTGCTTAAGTATATTAGCAGGTGCCCTTTCAGTGTTCCATGGCAATCCCCTCAACCTAAAAATTAGTTCTTTATTTTTCCAGTTAGAAAAAACACATGGAAAATGAGAAGAAAAGCAAAGTGTCCTCCAATGTCATTTGCTATCTTGGGAAATCATTTCAATATTTCGCTTATTCTAAAACAGATGACAATTGTCATCTCAAAGGGCTAAATGTTAAAGATTATTTCAATTAGTGATGGTAGCTTATGAACAATAGTTCTAAGAACAGGCTACATGCTGTGAACAGCCCCAAGTCATATGACACACAGAAGGACCCGAGGGCGGGATAATGATAGGATAACATCTCAAGTTTGGTGGCCAAAACTTTAAAATCAAGTAAGAAACATCATGTTTTCACTGTAAAAGCAGGCTCAGAGCGTTGGCTTCAAATGTGAGTGGGACATTGATGGGGAGATTCTGATGCTGTCGAGTGCCATGGTTAAAACCATAAATGGTAACTAATGAATGGTGAGCAAGTCAAACACTGGTTAAACTCTGGGGCACTCTTTAATCCTTAAATGCTGCAGTGTTCTGATAAATTGAACCGGATAACATGATATAAAGAGTGGACTTTCAGTAGCTGTCCCATTGCACGGTTGGAGATTTCACTTCAGATTACCAGTAAAGGGATTGAATTTTTGCAACTGT